CATTGAAGCAACTGCCATGTGATTGGTTGATTCGATAATTGCATTAATGAGAAATTGAACAGGTGTTCCTAATAATCCTTTAGGTGAGTGTATAAGTAAAGACATTGAAGATTAATTTGTTCAACAGTAACAATTTTGGACCTACCGGATTACTTTGTGATTTCCATCTATGTGCCACGTGCAGTTTGGTGCAGGAACACTATATTTTCTCCGATACAGTGTTCAGTTGGCCAGGGCTCTAAGTTCCGTGCCCTCTGGATCCACTCTTCCATCCACTCATCCACTCTAAAAACTTGGGTAGAGAAATCAAATGTCAACAACAATTAACCACCAACAATCAAATGCAACAACAGTGTAAGTCTTGTGGCTTTGGCTAGTAACCAGGGGAAAATGTATTCTGTAACAGATAACCTCTTGATTAAAGATGAGCTCTTATCATACGGTATCCACATTGTGGATCTCCAGCACCAGTGTCCAGCTGTGCATCTCTCATATCTGAGTACATGGCTGATATACTTTTAGCAATAGAAAACAATGTCAATGTTAGGTAAATGACTTTCCAAGAATGTATAACTAAATAAATATGTATGTAAACTGCCTAACATCTATGCAGCACTGCAATACCCTTGAAACTAAATACTAATACTAATATTTAGTGGTGGTAGTAGTAGTAATAATAATAATAGCTGAAAAAAACAGCATATACAGAAACAGCTGGTTACAGCTGACATTACCAGTATGGAAACCAGAGGAAACGGACCTGCAGCTAAATAAACTGGGTGGGGTGGGATGCTGTTGTAGCTTGATGCAATTAACAATGCACTTCATGTTTTACCCAAAAACATTTTTTGAATTGCACAATGACTAACCGTTTAAAACCAGATAAGCACTTACGACTTGATTAACTTAAGACAAATATCAATCACATATTATAAAAGAATACTTACCTCAGCCCATTTTGCTCCATTTTCTTGTGGATTGTATTTCGGTGGACTCCGTACAGGACCGCAATTTCTTTTATCTTTAATCCATAGCGGAGGTAGCCCTCAATGGTCACCACAGGTATCTTGATGGCGAGTCTCCCCACTCTGCTCGTCACTGACTGCGTGAGTGCATGTAACACCTGTGTCAGATTAGTTTGCACCCTTCCTGTGTCAAGTCCAGTTAAGATGGACCGCTTCTCTACCCTCTGTGAGAGCAAAAACAACCTATGAAATGCATCTGTTGCTGATACCTGATTGCTTTCCATGTCATCTGCTAAGGCAGAAATATTTGCTGCAAGCTCTTCTGTCGCCATTACTCTAAAACAGGGCTATTCAACTTCAATAGCAAGTGGGCCGAATATGAAAATCACTGGGGGGCCACACAGAATATTTGTCAACTAATGGCTAAAAAATTACTCTTGATGATAATAGATATTATATTAGTATGAACGAATGACATCCATTTTCTTTAACTTTAATACTTTCACATAAGGAGCATTTTAACCAAGGTCCATATTTATATTTTGCTACATTCAAGATGAACAAAGCCATCAGACCAAAAACATTTCCGTGCAAAAGCGACCGATGGCGACTTGACACTGTTGAAAAGACGCTAGCAGACACTGTACTTTGCCTCTCCGTTCCTCCGAGTCCTCTGGAAAACTGGCAGAAAACGAGCCGTGATTTGACTTGTAGTGCCTCTTCACGTTGTATTCTTTCATGACAGATATGCATCCATTGCACAGTAAACAAACCCATTTATTACTCGTCGCGGCAGGCAAAACAAATATTTGTCCATCCATTCGCTCTGGAACTGGCGGTTTTCCAAATCAATTTTTCGTTTTTTGGGTTTTAAGAGCGACATGTTGTAAAGCGGTGTTAGCTTAGCTGACTCTGACCTCTTCACCTCTCACCCGCGAGCTGAGTGCAAGCGCAGAGCGAGTGTAGCAACAAATCACAGAACATGCCTGTCCGGCACGTAGGTGCGTAGTATAACGTGACGGATCGGAACCGTTATTGAAGTAGATCAGAGCTACTGGTATACCATAATTTTATTATATCACACACTGTGATTTACTGGCAGTCTTGCGGGCCATAAAAAATTTCAAAAGGGCCGCTAGTTGAATAGGCCTGCTCTAAACAAACAAATCCGTTGAATGCTGGTGAGGCCCTAAACAAGGAAGTGACTTTCGTTAATGAAGGTCTGCCTTGATGCGGTCTGACAGTTAAGAATTGCAAATTGAGTTTTCCCCCCCAACACGCAATGCAATTACCGGGGACGCCATTGCATTTGAATAAAGAGGCAAAAAACCCATGCCAATACGAAATGCAATTCAGTGCCTTGTTATTCTATTTATTATTCAAAATATCTTAAAATTAATTAAGGATTGCATAAGCACTTTGTACTTTGATTTGCCGATTGCAAAATTTATTTTCAAATTACATGCTCAGATTAAATATTGAAATGACAAATGCATGCTCTGATTGAATATTGAATTGCCAATTGCAAAATTAATTGCCATTTGAATTTTTGTGCTTATCTTCCATAATAATCGGCTCTCAAATCTAAACATTTAAAAGTATTTTGAAGGAAGCTAGATTTTTAATTCAGCAGTTATGATTTGAAATGAGGGGTGAAGAAAATGTCAGTTCAGTATGCTGGCTGCAGATATATTGGTCATATTACATTTATGCTACATTCAGTACTGCCTCCTCAGTCAGTTCTGTGACTTCGTGGGTGCTCTGTTTAATGGCAATATTAGGCCACTAGGTGGTGCTGTCACTACTTTGTAGCACTGTCACTATACTTTCAGCCTGGGTTTCAGTCCTAATGTCAAATTGGTAACTCCAGTGAAGAAGGAATCCATTATTGCTTGTTTCAGCATTTGATGTGATTTGAGGCTTGTAAATGTCAGATTCTGTCCAGAGACTGCATGCATAGGTATGACACTGTTACCATGATGACCAGAACTTGGGAAACTGGTGCTGGGGGCTGTGAGAGGGTATGGGGGCGGCTTGATGTGTAACCTCGGAGCTGGTGTGCCTGTCACGTTTTAATCAAAATAACAGGTGAATGCGTGGCTGGGAGTAACGGAACTCCACATTCCCTAAATGAAATGGACCCTGGCCTGGTTTGTCATGCCTCAGGATCCTGACTCTCCCTGTATTTTTCCTGTCTGTTGGTTCCTTCACTGCGCTCTCAAAAAGTTAACACACACCAACATATATGTGCACCTTAACACATGTACATTGACATAAGAAAAATAAAACGCATGCTCCCAAAGATATAGACTCCCAAAGATATAGACACACAGGTTTTGTGCATTGATTGGGTACTTAACCCAACTGGGGTGGGGGGTGTTGGGTCATCCAAAAAATTACCCTGTTGAGGCACAGCTGTCACATGACTCCACAGTCACCCCCAGGGGTCTGTTGGCTGAAGAGTAGAGAGCAGGGGCAAGGGAGCTCGTTTCCAGGGCTAAATAAGATTGGGGTGGTGTGGAAGCCTACGCAAAGAGAAGTGGAGGACAAACACGAGCCGAAGTGGAAAGAGTCCCACCGGAGTTAGTCACCCACCGACCCGCTGCGTCCAACCTCCACACCGCAACTCGCTAATGAAACCTGATCCAGCAGGACCCACTCTAAAAATACCATCGTCCAGGAGGACTTGGTCATTCTTGACACACTAAATTTGATAAAGATGACGCTTATTTTAATTTTCATTGCTCTGATTGAACTTTCCATGGATGTGTGAAAGTATTCCAGAACTTTCTAAGAGAAGCAGCATGAAGGTAATCCATACATCTGTTTATAATCTGTTTGCATGAAATGAGTTTTTACCAGAGTAAAGTTGTACACAGCAATGCTGGACTAAACTCCACTAATGATCGATTCCCTGCGTCTGAGAGTCTTGAGAAAGCTGATTTTGATGACACAATGTCTGAACTTTATTAATATCTTGGAACATAATTTTGATTTAAAGATTGAATTCCTAGAGATTTACCCAAAATCCTGTCCTCTACGAGAATGAAGGAGATTCACCATATTTGCAGTTATAGTGAGATGAGATTTGTGGCATAAACTGTGCTCAGGGTGTGAGCGACGCAGTAGCTTTCAGGGCATCTTCTGAGATATGAGGAAGGCCAAGGTCCAGCTAACCCTGAATAAGGGACCAGAGGAGAAGGCCAGCAGTATGGCACCCCCTAGTCCCCAGATACCATCAAAGCGTGCCAGAGGGACCCCAGATGAAGCAGCACCAGAGCCCAGGAGCTCTCCATATCCCACCCCAACGCCACCGGTGTTCATCCGAAAGATGCGCAATGCTGCTGTGGGCACGGGGTGCGACGTCCGGCTGAAGGTGGCGGTGGTGGGCAACCCACAGCCCTCCCTCTACTGGTACCACAACGACGAGCTGCTGGACACAATAGACCAGGAGTATAGTGCTCTCTGGGTGCGGGACTGCCATGCCTCCGACGCCGGCCTCTACACCTGCGTGGCCAACAACCAGCTGGGTGAAGCTCGCAGTAGCGCCATCCTGGCCGTGCTGGACCTGGGAGAAGGTTGGTAATGCAGTTTCTGGGTGTCTGGATTGGCGGTGCAGAACTGAACTGCATAAAAGCTTTGGTGGGGCGGTCATGTGTTTAGCTGGTTCTTTACCTGTAGGGTCAGCCATCTATCAGGACCTTTAGATGTGGGTTGTGACTGCAAATATCTTCATTCATTCATCACCCTGACCTGAAAGTTTGGTTGGGTAGAGGTCCTAAGCTCAGAATCCCTGGCCATCATGATCAGAGAAACAGTGCCATGTGGTAACGTTCCTAGGGGCATTAAACCTGCATGAGGTCATAGCGGTGGTGTGCAGGGTGTCTGCAATGGCAGCCCCCCCAGCTTCAGTGCCGCATTCTGACCTTTACCACAAGATGTGGGAGGGCAGTTCAGGTTGTAGGTTTCTGATGCGGCTCAAAATGGATGCCAGCTGCTCCTGTGCTGCACACTCTGGCCAGAAGGGGGCATTCTCAAGGGAGCTCAGTTTGCATGCCTGCAAGAGGAAGCAAGAGAAGAGTGTTTGAAAAGACACTATCCAGCCATGGGGCAAGTGCCGTTGCTGTATGTGATGGAGGTTGTCGTGCTGTCTGCATGGGTATCAGTGCCAGCTGGGTGCATAAGTGGCTCCTTGCAAATGGGTTTGTTATGCTGTGAGTGTGTAAAAACCTGCCAGCTCAGGGTGGCTAGACGGACTAAAGCAACTCAGAGTCCCACCCTCCCAGGACTTGGCTGCATCCTGCCCTACTCCTGATGCAATTGGCCCCCCAGAAAAGGCCTCTCAGCATCCCCACCCCCATGCCGCAGCTGTCATGTTGATCACCCCCCATCCCACTTTCCCTTCCCCACACCACTGGATATTTATACCCCGGAATTTGCCGGGCTACTGCTATCTGCACTCCGCTTACACCAGACAACGTCAAGTTTAATTATAGTCACGCTGGGGCAGGCTGGGAACTGTGCGGTGATTACACTTACTGCTGCTCTCCTAACTGGACCAGAACTGAGGAACAGCACGAGGTTTATGATGTCACCTACTGACAGCTGCTTTTCAAGAGGACATGAACATCATCGTTCTGTGTCACATTGCTGAGTGCAGTATAGACTGTTTGCTGTTTGGGCTCCAGACCTTCAAGGACTAGAAAAACGTTTTTCAGCCTGGAGAAAAGCATTAGCTAAGCAGCAGAAGGCTAAAATCTCATTTTAGTGTGTAAATGACTAGCCTTATTCCAGTAAGGTTCATTTCTAGTATTCTTGTGCCATGATGAGGCATCAGTATGGGGTGGGCTCATGTATCACATGACTTGCTCATATCATATGACCAGCTGTGTACATGACAGACATGTGCTGCCCTACACAAGCATTACCAGAGCCCCCCCTTTTGAGACAATGTGAAATTGGGCATTGATGTTGACGCCCTAGATGGACACCTGTCCCGCTTATACGATTGACAGGCTCTGGCTCTGAGAACCCAGTGTTATCTTGACAGGTGTAGAGGGGGTAATGCAGCAGCAACCAAAGTGACATGCACAACCTTCCACCTCCCACAGTTTGGGGAAAGTCCCTCTGGACCTTACAGGGTCTGCAGGCTGTCATGAAAACAGCTTTCTGCTGGTTCCCCTGGCCTTTCAGTATGCAGTGGGGCACAGAATGTCCTTCCAGGATGTTCACTTCTGCTCCCGTGTACACCCTGATCATCTCTCAGAGTGCCATGCGATTTGTTCCTCGGGGAGTTAAGGTTACCTGGGGTGGGTAGCACAAAAAACCTTTAGTTTTCCCATTAAATATAACACTTTTAGCCAGTTTCCCAGTCAAGGATTAAGCCTAAGCCTAGACTAGCTTTGAGTTTCAATGGTGAATCTCCATTGATACTGCAATTTAGTCCAAGACTTGGCTTAATCCTTGTTTGGGAAACTGGCCCTTAAGGTTTAACTTTTACTTAGCTAAGAGATTTATTTAAGGATGTTGCACAGAATCTCTTAAAAGGTTTCATTGGTACAGAAAAACCTTAAGGGATTTACTGTATTGAAAAGGATTTTACGGCAGTAAAATCGTACAGTTTCCACGGGGACGTCTGTTTGCTTGCAGTTGTGCGTGCTCGTGATACCTGTTATCGCCTCCAGTGTTAATTTTGTTGACGAAAAAGTTTACGAAAATACGGCCAGACGAAGGGTTTTTGTGTGACAATGACTAAAACAAAAACGTGATTTAAATATTTGTTTAATGACTAAACATATTATTCGTTTGACTAATTTAAATGAAATAAAAATAAAATCCGGATTTCGTCACCACTGCATATTTATCTGATAAAAAGAGAAGGGTCCAGCTGCAGACGCCTGTAGAGTGGAGCTCCGCCGGAAATACGTCACCTCCACAGGAAACAGGTGACTCAACTCTGTGTTACAGCGAATAAACACTAAGTTCACTAACCATAACCCTAACCCTAACCGGAGTACGCCCTTAAAGATCACGTGTTTCCTGTGAAGGTGGCGTATTTCCAGTGGAGCTCCACTCTACAGGCGTCTGCAGCTAGACCCTCTTGCACCTTTGCCCTTTTTGGCTGAAGAGTTTAGTTACACGCATGATGTTTGTATCCCAGGCAGTTCCGATGCGTAATCTGCTATTTCTCCTGAATATCATGTAAAGCAGTGAGAACTGGTTTTCAGTTAATTTACCTGGTAAAATAAAGTTTAAATAAATGACATAAATGCTCTAATAGTAGACTTTTCACACTTTTCCCGAGGGGTCTGCGTCAGAGGGAGGGGAGGGACTGGTTTGGGTCCTTAGTGTTCTGTGTCAGAAAAAGGGGCATGTCTGGCTTGCATCTTTGGGGGTCTGCTTCAGAGAGAGAAGTGTGTCCGGTTTGTGTCCTTAGGAGTTGCTTTAGTGGGTGGGGCATGTCCAGGTTTGTCTGCTTCAGGGTCTGTGTCAGAAAGAAGGGCCTGTCCTGATTGAGTCCTTAGGGGACTGCATCAGAGAGAGGATCATGTCCAGTTTGTGTCCTTAGGGGTCTATATCGGAGAGAGGGGTGTGTCCAGTTTGTGTCCTTTCCGGTCTGTATCAGAGAGAGGGGCATGACCAGTTTGTGTTCTTAGAGGTCTGTGTTAGAGATTAGGGGTCTACATCAGAAACAGGGGCGTGTCCGTTTTGTGTCCTTAGGGGTCTGTGTCAGAGAGGAGGGGGTGTGTGGTTTGTGTCCTTAGGAGTGCTTTAGAGGGAGGGGTGTGTCTGGTTTGTGTCCTTATGGGCTTGCATCAGAGAGAGGGGCATGTCCAATTTTTGTCCTTAGGGGTCTGTGTCAGAGAGAGGGGCGTGTCAAGTTGAGTGTTGCTTTAGAGCACAGGTGTCAGACTCTAGTCCTGGAGGGCCGGAGCCCTGCACATTTTTGGGTTTCTCCTCGTTTAACACACCTGATTCAACTTCTTGTGCTAATTATCACATAGCTGTTGAGCTGAATCATTTATGGTGGAACAGGGAAAGAACTAAGCTACACAGGGCTCCGGCCCCCCAGGACTGCAGTTTGACACCCCTGCTTTAGAGGGAGGGGCGTGGTCTGGTTTGTGTCTTTGCTGGTCTGCTTCAGAGACAGGAGCGTGTCCGGTTTGTGTCCTTAGGAGTTGCTTTAGAGGGAGTGTCATCCTTAGGTGTCTGCATCAGAGAGAGGGGCATTTCTGGTTTGTATCCTTATGGGTGTGATTTCATGGCCATCTTGGATGAGATGTTTAAATGGCAAAAAATAATTTTAAGCTGTTTAACCTGAGATTAGTATTACTTCTTTAAATTTACAATAGGAAAGCTGTATTGTGTGTTCATCAGAATGTTAGTAAGATGATCACAAGATGTGATTAGATTAAGTCTGAAAGTAACATCTCAGCTTTCTAGTACAAAAACTACTGGCAGTTTGCAAGGATGACTCATATTTCAACCAGAATGCACAGATGGGATTTTATAAACAGAGCCATAAAATTATCGTTATATTATGCCTGTCCTCTAAGCCGACTTGATTTTCTTCAGCTACCTAAACTATGATCGGTCAAGAGTCAGAACTCTGTGATGTGCATTTCAGCCAATCAGCGCCTTTGGTGTCATTAAGTTCTGGTGTTTTATGAGCATTGTTTCATCTTGTGATTGACAGCACAGCGGGCACATAATAAATGATGTCAGATATGTAACATTTTATTTTCTATCTGCAGAAAAACAAGACATAGACTGAATCAACTTTGTCAGCTTTAACTTTCATGTGAGTGCATAGTCTGAACCCTTACTAGCTGTTGTGAAAATGTGCTCATCTTTGTTTACTACTGTAGTCATTTCCTTCCATGCTCAGGCACTCTGCATCTCTGAAGAATTTGGTCTGTGGCTGAGTGTGTCTGTGCTGTTCCAAATGTAGTATCAGTGTAGGTCTGTCAGTTGCCATCTGTGTCTATGCTGCTCTGTATGATGTCAGTTCTAGTCTCACTCTTGCCCACTAGATTCACCATACTAAAGGCAGCTGCTCGGGACTTGTGCAATTGCTGCAAATGTTGCTCGCACTCATCTCAGAGGCTGCTCTTCTCCATTAAATCCTGCTTTTTTGCTGTTCCACATCCTGTACTACAGATGGAGGCTATTTATCACACTTGGATCCTCGTGTTCACGCTGTCTCATGGCACCTAGCTTGAACCACCTCAACACACATAAGCTCATTTATCTGAAGGTTTTATCAAAAGCGACTTACAGAAGATTAATGGCTTATGATAAACCGGAAATGAGGCACAGCGCCCTCGGCAGGACTAACAAGCCAGCAGCAAACCTGGAAAAGTCCTCCCTTTCATGTGAAAGGACCACATGTCAGCTGGCACTTACTAAGGTGCTTTGTGTTAGAACTCTGACACGCATGACAGGCGTGTAATTAGAGAGCCGTGTTAATGGAGGGTGACGCAGTATAGTCACCACCCCCTCAGCCAGCAGTGTGTAAACACTGCGACCTCCAGTAATACGAGCTGACCCACTGGCCTGGCACCAGGGGGGTGGTGGG